TGCAGCCTCAGTTGTAATTCAGGAATTGATCTGGAATGTAAAATCCAGCTCAGTTCAGTCCTGAATGAGAAACACAATGCTGCTGTTGGCGTGTTCCTGACGGAGGTGTAGGATGTGAGACACTTGAGTAAAGCACAGCTGTCATCTGTCTAAACCGTATATTGGAGCCGAATCCAATCGCCCTTCACAAATCAAATAATTATCATCCCTCCATCTATGTTAAAAGGCTAATTGCTTGACTGCTGCAGCATCCACTTTGTGTGGGACATGAACAATAGTGACAGAGGAGCACCGCTGGCTAGAGAGCAACACCTCCTCTCATCTCTGCACATTGTTTTGCTTTCTTCTTGAACTGAACGTTAGAGCGTGTGATACCACTGACAAAAGGAGAGAGAACAAACAGGAGATGTGGGAGATCTCAGCCAATCAGAGCGCGTCTGAGTAAATGCACCTGTGTGTTCCTCGCTGTGCCAAACTTGTGCCCACTACACAGCCCACTCTCCTCTCTATGTCTCAGTGTGTGTAGGCCGCCGCAGCCATCGGCAGCGCTCTGTACACATAACGGCTCTCTCAGCCCACGGCGCATCAGTGTGTGAATTCATTATTCGCTGTGATTAAAAGAAGAAGATTACAGCTGGATGACTAATTAATCTGAAAGTTTATCAAATGTTTTCTTTTTTACCGAATCTGTATGTCTTCTGTGCGCTAGCTATTTCATCCCACATAATGGAAATGTTTGGTGATTTATCACAGTGATCTTCAGACCCCATATCATAACACAGCGTTATTCCAGACGCACATCTGCATCAAAATGTCAAGGTCAGTAAAGGTTTTCCTGAATGAATCTATCACCACCGTTGGCCTTGCATGCAGTATGTGAAAAATGGAAGGGATGCTAATATAACTGAAGCTCTCAACAGGGTAAGGTCTGTCCGGGACAGTAATTTAGATTTTTACTGGCCCAATGAACTAACTAATAATAGTTTAGATTAACTTACTAACTAATAAATAATAATAAGCAATCAAGTACATAAATAAATA